GTATTTATAAACAGTCAATAACTGCAAAGCTTAGAAATAAAGATCTGATTTTTCTCGCTACTGCGAAGCGTCTTTGTCAATCAAAGTTCATCTGTTCAAGTACCTACAATTGAAGTAAACCTTTAAAATTGATCCGGTCAGAGAAAGAAGGAACAAAAAAGAATAGGACTATTTAATTCAGTGACATTCTCATAGAAGCCAACCAACGGCTTACTGTTACAAACCTGGAAAAAAAGATTGGAGGTCAAAGTAGAGAAACCATTATTATTAGCGCCATGCACAGCAGTCTGTCTAGGCTTGCTTTATACGGTCTTGTTGCTTAGATGCAACCATTTATCTTGAGTAAAAGGCGGAATGTTCGACAGCAGCTTCGTTATTGCTTAGCGGTTGGACGCTTGCTAATAACGAGTGATGATCTTCACTGATAAGGTCAAATTTAATGCGGAGAACAGCATAAACGAAATTTCAATTAAGGGAAGGAAGAATGAGAAGTTCAATCCTCGATGTACTCAGGGGGATTGTAAAGTTTGATAGAGAGTTGGTTGTGATATAAAGGCTTAATCTTCAATTTAAAAAACTGGCATCGTCTTTTTTCATTAAGCTTCCTCTTTATTCAAATCTGTGGAGTGACTGCCATAATAGCACATTGGAGGAAATGTGGAACAAGAGTGATTTTGAAAAGTTTTCTCAACAAAAATAAAGTAGTGCAACAGCATTGGGCTCTGAGGTGCTGAATGTGTTCTTAGCTCTCCCGAGTTTTTTTATTTTATTATTGAAAATCCTAAGTTGAGCTTCAAAAGTGGCAAATGCTTCAGTTTAGTGTTACTAATTCTTTTTAAAAATTCTATTTTTATTCTGGAAAAATTTAAAATTTAAACTTGGTAGGTTCTAAAACCTGATAAAAATATTAGTTTGTAAAACCTTAAAAATTATCTAGCAGTGTTATTATGTCTAATTAACGCTATGCCGCAAAAGAAAGAGTTGGTTATAGTTAATACTTCTAATACCTATGAGTTTTTTTTGTCTACGGAATGTACAAGACTGATTTAGTCGTTGCTATAAATTATTAATCATTCACTAATACAGATAAATTATAGATGGCAATGTTTTGTTTTTTGTCGTTTGCTGTCATCATTTGAATCTGCTTGTAATAAATGAGAGCTGAACATTTGTCAGATTAGAGAGCCGACAGCTTCTGTCACTTAACTTACCAGCAGTAAGAAAGCAAAATCTTGTGAATTCTCCACCGTTAGTGAAATAGCCTATCAAGGCGTTATTTGAATTTTGCAGGTGTTAGACTGTTTTACTGTATAAGCCATACAAAAGAAAAAATAAAATTTTTCCTCCATTCTTGTAACTAGTTTTAATCATACAAAAAACACCCAAAAAGTAAATACATAAAGGAAGAAATTTTATACAATAAGATAGGTTTATCTGAGACTTTCCAAATGTTTTCATGCAGTTTTTTGTCTCAATTCCGCAAACCTGCTTCTCTTTGAAGTCACTCTCTTAAAAATTTTATTTTTTTCATAACATCTGCTCAGGAAAAAGAGTATATTTAATTCTCTAACTTCAGCTTGTGACAGAGAATAAATGATTGATTCCTTAAAAACCAGCTCTAATATGAAAAAAAAGCTGATAAAAAGAAAGATTTTACTCACCTGATATTCTGTGAAAGATTATTAAAACAATAGCCTGGAAAAAACGTCTTTTACAATGTCTTTCAACGCGATAAACTGATAAGAGTAATGTTAAATCCTTTCACTTCATTCTTTTTGATTATTAAATCGCTATTATTTTTTATATTTGGAGTGTAAGTTGTTAACTCTGAACAGCCTTCGATCAATACAGAAGATTAAGTGCTCCACAAAAGTTGAATAAATCACGTGGTTAAATTTTTGGTTACCTCTTAAATCAGCAAGTTCTCTGTATCAAATAAGCAGCAGTAATTAACACATTACTTGACTATATTGTAATTACCGAAATACAGCAATATTCTTAGCGAGTATTTTTTATGCGAATTTAACTGAATATTGCAAAAAATATCCGAACTTACAGTTGGAAAAAAGAGAGTTGGACTGTAATTAAAAAAAGAGATATAGAAGATTTAAACCTGATTCCAAAGTTACAAAAGGTAGAACAGAGCATGTTTGAAGAACTTGTAGCTTGAAAAATCCGTTTTATAAAACTACCTAGCCGTTCCGCCGCCTGAAAAAAACTTCTCCAGATTGAGATTTTCTTTACTTGCGCCCCCCACAATGCGGCTGAGACTCTCCAAAGTGTACCCATTCAACCAGTTGTTCGCTTACTCCAGAACACCAATCACAGTTTACGCTCCACAGTACAGTCTTTTAACAGCGGCCTTTTTAAAAGATTTAAAATAAAAACAAGTGAAGATGCGGAGAATTTTCTATAGCAGCCAAAAGCACAGCAGCTTACAAATCAGAATCTTTCATGTTACAACCGGAGCCGCACGCAGCGAGCAGACGACACTGAGAACCAAATATGTTGCTAAGGATGGAAGCAATTCGAACTTACCCTAAGTTTGGCAGAAGCGAGCTGACAGCACCTGTAGCTGAGGTACACGCTGATGATTCTTGAATATTTGTATTAAGACGGTATTGGATCGCCATGAAACCGACCTGCTATTTTACCGCACTTAGAAGATTGCAGGTGATCGCGAACATTCAAGGTTGCTGTGCTGTCCCAACCAAAATAACAGTGTCTCAAACGCCGAAGGGTACTAAGACTGTTATGTCATTTAGAAGACAAAAACAGTAAGGCCGCGTAGGATCAAGGAACCATACAACTAAAACTAAACGTCCAACTTAGTTCTCTTCGGATAGAATTAGTGCATCGTTTGAGGTATCAAAACAACCATACTGCATTCACTCAGTCCCCTGCACAGACGGCTGAGACCTATATGATCGCAACATACCTTTCGGCTTTCCTGAAGCATTTGGTGAGTACCAACCAAACTGTCTTAGCCGTAGTACAACACCCACTAACTTGGCGGTTTAAAACATGGTTAAGAAATTTTGCAAGATCAGCGCGGGTAGCAACAAATACGGAAAAATCCTGCTGCTCCAGTCTCTCTTGGCCGACCGGAACTATCGTGACAAGCGCAACGGAAATTTGCAAAGCTACCGAGTAGCCAAGACATTAAGAGCCTTCCAAGAGAAAGATGTTCAAGCAGATAAGTGCGAGTTAGCCAGGGGAAACATCAGAAAGAGGGCTACATTGGATGGGTAGAAGTGCAAGGAAAAAAAGATACTTAACTTAGCTCTTTGTATTAAGCGACCAAAAGTGGTATTTGGAAATGAATCCATAATCTTCAATTTTTTGTTGAAATAGAAACAAAGATTTGACTTGGGTCAGCTACAATCCTAGTCGTAGACAAGTGGGAACTGATTTTGGAAATCAAGTTTTGACCTTGATTAACTTATATGTCGCAGATAAGGTAGTTGTTTATTACCAGTGACAAACGTCAGCTGCCGGCATACACTCAAAGATTGCTTCGGAATGTGATGCTTTACAAGCACTGTGCACCAGATAACCCAAAACATGAAAATTCAACAGGTAACGGTTGCAACTGCTCTTAACAGGTCATTCGCAGTTAATTTCGACAGGTAACGCTTACGGTTACCTATCAGAATCATCCGAAATTAGCGAAGACGTTGTCAGCGACACCCTGTGGTGGAAGGGCAGCCTGCCTGCCAGATTGACTCAGGCTTGACAAGTGAATAAATCTGGATCTTTCAGCACCGTGCCGGAGACAGTCACTTTGATAATTCCGGTAATTTTCTGGTGTGCGTATTTCTGTTAGATATTCTTACTCTCTGCTGTTGGAAGTGGGGTTTTTGCTGTAGAGGTTAGTATTTTGTCCTTTTTTTTAATTCTGTTATTTGTGATAGATTGCTGTCTTCTTTTCCCGTTTTATTCTCCAGTGGTTGTCTAACAGTGTCATTCTTAACTTCAGTCAATCTTAGCGTTGTACATACGTTCCCTGTCTCACACTCATTGAGTATCGTCTGTCTACTCAAGTAACGCTGTACAATAAAGGTATAACAGTCAAATATTAAAACTTGAGTAAAAACCGAAAAATCCTCTTGCTTTCAAAAGGAAACTCTGAGGGCTCCCCCTTTTTCGCGCGTCATCTAATTATAATTTTGTCTAATACAAATACCAAATAGAAATATGCACACGGGATAATTACCGATATTATCACAGCGAACGTCTCTACAACAAAAAAAATTTTTTTTCTCTTTATAGCTCGCAAAAGAAGATCCTGTGAGCATGGTTTGCCTTCTATTCATGCAACTTATCTTACCTGCCTAGACAAAACGTCTGTCAGACCATGTGTCTTCTCACCCCAAAACATCCGACCTTAAAAGTCAAAAAAGCTCGGTTATCTGCATGGCCCTATCATTTAGTTCCAAGCTGATTTCACTGACAGATACGGCATCCTACGCATGTTCTCTTGACAGAAATTATTGCGGTGATGTGAAACTTTTCACATAGATCGAGACAATAAAAAATCTAAACTTAACCTAATTGATGCAAAAACTGCTGTCAAGCCTCAACGGAATAATTTAAGTGAACCGATGTGTGTTCTAAACAAGCTACGAGTCTTTTTTTTTGATTATAGGAACTGATGGAAAGGAACAGAAAGGATTATATGAACAAAAAAAAGTGAAAAAAAAAAAAACGAATAAAAAAATTTATTGATATTAATTTAGGACGTAATTCCCCTGCATTCTCCATGTATTTCAGAAAAAAAAAATTTTCCCCAAGAATACCAACAAAACAACAAATAACAAATTTCTATAACATTTGAAATCTGAAAAACTTGTTAAAAATAACGCTGTTTTCTTCCCCTTTCGCGTCTTCTTCGCCCTGCTACTGTCTTCAGCTTCAGTAAAACACAAGTTACAAAATAAAGTTTTCAAACAGAAAGCAGTATTGTTAAATGGTAATTAGATATTTATTTCAACTTGATGTCACAAATAATAATTGTCAAAAAAAATAAATTCAAGATTATTGAAAAGCCTTGTCATTTCCATAATTATCTTTTCCGACTTGAAGTTATAAACAATTCGCTCCACTCGCGAATCACAATAAATCAAATGAACGCCTTAAATCAAATATATCAACAGTAGTTCTATCGCTTTCTTCGCTACTATTTCTATGTGTCCTGGCGTCATAATCGGACTTATCGACTTGGAGCTGCTAAAAAGAGTATTTCAGTAAAGGTAGAACTTAGCTTAGAACCAACGACTAATAATACTGTCAGTTTAAAAACACTAATTGAACATGACACGCACTGTATGCAATATGCACTTTCTTTTAATATTACATTCAAATGGAAGAGACAGAATTACTTCTCACTAACAGGTTTACAACAATCTGAGTCACAGCAATTTAAAGGTATATTTTTCTTCAGCTTTTTAAAGTTATTTTAACATCCTGAAATTGCACCCAGAACTGTAATAAACTAAAATGGCTGCCAAAATATTTTTTAAAAGCAGTTACGCAAAATATTGCAGTTTTAGAATCGCTTTTTTATTGAGATGACAAGTGCGGTAGGAAACAATCAAAACTTAAGAGATACTTTTAATATATAAAAATAGAAAACAGAATTTTACTGGCGAAAAAATGATCAATACTAAAAGTTTTGAGAGATGAAAGCTTTTTTTGAAGAAACAAGGAAGAGAACTTTTTGCTAAAATTGAAGGCATTTTCTGAGGCTACTGAAAACAAAAAGACCCGACAGAGAAAATGACAAAAATATCTATACTACCATTAATTGTTGATTGAGTTATAAATTTTAATCGCATTCAATCTCCTTCCAACTAAGTTCCAAAAAAATGCACTTTTTCTGCTGCAAACTTAATATACAAATCAGTTGACAAATCTAAAAAAAACAGACCTGGACATTCTTCCGGTCTGACACATTTCTCCTGAGCGTTAAGAACATAACCCTGATCACAGATGCATCCTCGGAAGCAAATTTTTGGGCATCGGTCAGGCTCTGGTTCGTTACATTTTTTCTGACATAAAGACCCGCATTTAACAAAATGGGAGTTTGGCTCACATTTGTCGTCTTCAATCACTGCGTTAATAGCAACCACGAAAAGGCAAAGCTATAAGAAAAAAAATTTTACTACATATGCTTTGAAATTACGGCAACATCGTATATGATGCGACCCTTTTTTTAAACGTCTCTACTTCACCAAATTACTTAAAATTTTAATCAAATTCTTTTTAAATTTTTTAACACTGGTTATTCGCTGTTAAGCGACAAAACTGAATGCAACTAAAATATCGTTACAAATAAAACTGCATGACAAAAAGCAAAGAAGAAAATAATTAGGTAAATAAAAAATTAAAAATCTTGTTGCCTTTTTTGCCTGGCAACTAATAATATCCAGTAATTTCAAAATGTTCTTTTCCTCTGACAGTAAACGGTTTAAATGCATCTAACTTTTGTTTACTGAAACAAACAGTAATAAAAGAAAACTTTAGCAAATTTAGCAAAAATCGTGTTTTCAAATGATACCGTAAGAATTGGAAAGAAAATTGTTTAACTTACCAGGACAATCTTCTGCATTATAAAACTGTGCAACAAATAAAATACAGTGAACTAATAGCAGACAACTACTAGTGGGTTTCTTAAGTACTATAAAGTTCGCATCAAAAACAAAAAGTCCAACGCGAAAAAAAACGGGAAAAAAATGAAGCACCATTGAACATCAATGTATAAAAGTTAAACGGGTAAGACTACTCGACAAAAACCCGTAACTGGTGTCAGAAGTATTTATCAAAAAATCAGTTCTCTGCATCTGTATTTTTTTTTTTGGTTTCCTTTCTTTCTTCTCCATCTAACAAACTTCAATGGTTGAGCAGAAATCTTCCATGTCTGTCGTTTCACAAATTTAAAATTGTAAAAATACTGTGATGCTCGATATGATCACCTCGTCAAATTCCATGATAAATATTGCCGGAGAAGTAAGTTATCAGTCAGAAAGGTTTGGCTACTCTATAATTTTAGCTCTTCTTACTGTTACCCATAATCAATAATTTCCCTTTAATTGATAAATTTAAACATCACGATAAAAAGCCATATACCTGAATAATAATCTTTATCATATCATTGTTTTCTTCAGAAATACTTCAAAAATAAAAAATACTCGATCTATCACTTTCATTTTCGAAAATTATCATCTTTTCCTGTTTAGTCTGCACATTTTTCATGCACTATCCAAGCATTGAACAAACGATGATTTATTGAAAATAATTGCTCAATTGGTCTCCTAAACCTTTAAAGTGATTATTTAATGATTGAGCAGCTTTAAAAAAACTGGAAAAAAAGAAGAAACCTAAAAATACTTTGCATTTCAACTAA